CATTTAAAACCACCCCAAAGTTATTGTCAGCGAAAAATAAACTGCGTTACGTACTGCACACTAATAAAATGCAGTCAAGTAGGAAGGTCCCGCTAAATATCTCGTAAAGCTAACGAGGCTCTCTAATTGTTTGGAAGTGTCCCGCTATGCGAGGGGCCGCTAGACTTATTATAACTTCTTTATTTCTTTCCAGCGTTTAATGTTATGGCGCTGATGATATTTCATATTGCAGTATATGTGAAATTTTCGAAGTATTTTCTGTGCAGGTGGAAAATTGTTAACATCTTACCTACGACTAATACAGATTAATAAATAGTATCCGCTAAAGCTTTTTTGTGTAGATATTTTAGCTGAGACTGTATTTTTAAAGTATTATATTGTTTCTAAAAATTATATTACCCTTTCAGTTGTGGCAATTCGAGACACGATAGAAGAATAATAATTTGATTATGTAAAACACGATATTATGACATGTATAATGCTAATGTTCTATAGCAATTAGGAACGTAAGACAATCAAACTTCCAAAAAAAAAACAATGACCGTCTTGCCACTATGAAAAAAAAACAAAAGAAAATCTTCCAACAACTTTCCACCAAACTTCTGAAAACCTAGCATATGCTGGAAATGCAAATGCGGACATTAAAACGCGCGTCCCCGGGGTGTCGGTTCAACACCCCTGCTGCTTGGTATATGAATAATGGCACATCCTTACTGCTGCTGTTAAATGACACTTTTTATACAAACACACTTGTAATTTCTTAACGAGTTACTTTATGTACTTTGAGACGACTAAAGTTAGAAGGAATGATGAAATTTTGAACTCTTAAAATATAATGGAATTGTAATTTAATTCTACAGTTAATACAAAGCACAAGTGTAAAACCTATATCAATAAAATTTAAATAAAACCTAGTAAAATATACATATATAAACTATGCGAAACTGACCTTTTTTCTTTTTCTTTATGCATAACTCAATAAAAAAGTAACAACATTCTGAACTATTTTGTCAATCAATATTAAAAAAAAAGTAGTTTCAAAAGCCGTCGGGTCAAACATTCACATTTATTTACAGTTAAAAAGAAACTTAAATTACAAATATGGAATAAAAATGCCCAAGGGATCGGCTATCTACATCAAAGAACTCATTAAAAAGTTGTCAAAAGTCAATTATCTAGCGTTGACACGAAACAAAAACAAGAAGAATACGAAAAAAAGTATTAGGTTGTGAGAGACGGAACCGTATTCCAATAATATTCCATAATCAAAATATTTTTTTAAACCTGGTATATTACTTACTTAAGAATAAACAAAGAAAAAGTATTTATTCGACGCAAGAGCTAAGTATTTTCATATTTGGAAGTGACGAAAATTCAAGAAGTTTGGATTCTTTTTATGAAAACAATGTCAGTTTACAAGCTGCCTTGTTTCATATTTTAATAGTCCCTATTTAATTCCAACATGGCGTCAACAGTTCAGAAGTAGATTTTTTATTCTAGAAATAGAAATTCCAATAAAAAACAAAGCCAAAAAACATATAAAGAGAGATTATGTTTTGAATAACCATTAATTAATTGCCGCCGAATGCTTACAATCAGATGATCAGTCAGAACCACAGACTTATATTAAATTTGAAGTCCGTGGTCAGAACGCTTGCCGACCTTCCTTAAAAAACACATAATTATTTAGTCTAATTACCAATATGAAATCAAATATAATATTTATTTTCTTAACTCCACCAAATAAATTTGGAGCTGTACCTAGATTGTTTATCAATATCGACTGACATTGTTTTATTTTCAATCCGTCGTAGGTACAAATGAAGAAAGTTGTGCGATGAATCGCGTCGAGTCGTTGGGGAATTTTCAGTCTGGACAACTGTACCGTTATTTTTTTTCTTTATAGGTAAGCAAAAGTATTCCTAGTAGCGCTTGATTTGTTCTCGCATTTGTTATGTTTCCCCTATAGCACCGATTGTTCTTGAGACCCTTTTGTTTTGCTTGCCTGTACCTACAACGAATGCGAAACTTGTAATTAAGCTGTTTGTTCTGCCTTGCGTCGCCATGTTTTATTTATTTCCTTAAAGTTTATTGTGCATCGATTTTTTTTTAAAGTTTGGTATTGATTTCGTGGATAATGATTGGTTAGGTACGTATTGATTTCATTAAAGATGTTTTGACAATAAAATCTACTGTCAAAATATGTTGTCTCTCTCTTTATTTTATATTTATAAAAATACATAAATATTTATAAATTTGTAAATTCTAAACAGAAAAATATACCAATACATACACGATTCTCAAAACAAACTAACTGTCAAATCAGACTGTATGTAAAACACAAGTTCGATAGCTCAATATCTCCCGAATGTCATAACGTGCTACTAGTACCACACTCTATATACAGCTTATCCCATCTACGACCGGCTATACAAAACAGCCTGCGCCTACAACAACCATAGCCAACTAGATAAGGCTAACAGCCCGCTAAAGGAAACAGCGGACGAGCGGCGCCGCTTTGCGTTGATATCGGAAATTGAACACCATTGCACTACTCGACAACTTAAATCGAACACCTTTTGTTTGTATCCATGTTTTGTGTGCTATTATAAATGTGTACTGACTTTATTCTATAAATAGATTGTGTACCTACTTACATATTATTATGCTAACGTTCTAGTATTTGGTTCAGTGTGGGTGGTCGATGTATCTGTTCTGAGGCTTAACTTAGAATGTTAGATATATGTACCAACACGTTTTTACTAAGTGTATGTAGGAAAATTATAAATGTATAATATGCGTCGATGTTTGCAAAGCTTGAGTGAATAGGTTGCCCACGAACAGCCGTAGGTACTCATTCATAGGCTATATCGTCGCAAGCCACTGGACGAGATAGTGACCAATCGCCGACACATTACGAATACAATAAAATAATACTATCGTAAAACACAATTCAAAGGACTTAATATTTTAAATATATTATGATGAATACGCCAATGAAATTCTCATTTCAAATTCTTCATAACAAAAAATTTTTGCTATAACTAAAATTGTAGGCACTTCTCATGAACGTCTGTCTGATCACGAGTAGCGAGTTATTACTCTTGATAAGATATTAATTTGATAAGTATAGTTCTGAGTAATAATAAAAAATACATAATGTCAATATACGTAAGCAAATAACCTATTACAATAATTATATAACGGTAATTAATGTTTCTATTTTTCATTGAAACTACTTACCTAATAGGTAAGTAGGCTTGGTGTTAGGACCTACACAAAATTTGTTTTTCCCATTGTGACGGTTGAATATTTGTATTTTTTATTATTTTATTGGTACCTATATATATTATATAATACATTATAACCGCGATAAAGTCGTACCAACGGGCATACTAAAGGGGAAGTAAAGTGCCTATCACGAAATGAAAAACAAAATCAAATTATAAATTTAAACGAAATAGGTACAACCTATGTATTCTAAAATTTTAACAATCATAAACTTAATTTCGAGTATTTAAATCCCAAACCAGACATAATAAAATAATAGGCGTGTCCATTTCACCCATCAAAGGACGGTGGTCATTCTGGTCTTTAAGCCGGGAAATGGGAAATGTCAAATGCATCCACAGCGCAAGCCTGGGGGCAAAAATGAAATGGCATCCCGTGAATTGATTCTGCTTGTGGTCACTGCATGTCGAGCATATTGAAATGATGCGGCAGGATCGTTCATTGGAAATTGACCCTTACTGAGTACTTGTGTGATAAGTGCTGTGGCTGTATTTGGCTTATTAACTACATTTTGATTTTTTACCACTGGTTAGTCCCAGAGGTTTGTCAGACTTATTATTCTCATTTTGGGATCACCTATAAATTACCTAATTAGTGCAATAGGCTTGTTTATCGATTCATTATTATACTATGTACTATCTTAAAGGGTTGTTATTTTTAAAGTGTTATTAGATTTCAATTCATTTACCTTTCAAAAGTGACCTTGAGATTAAGTGTTTTACACCAATTATTATTGTCAGTATACCTACAAAAAATACAAGTAAGACATTTAATCTCAGGAAATACTATATCAAATTTAACATCTTTTTTATTGATCTGGCTATCAGCAGTTAGCATTGGCTAAAACAGCGAGTAGGCGAGAAAGTAGGAAATAAAGATGTGAAAAATAATCGCACCTATATTTCCATCAGCCGTGTGAGTGAGTACCTACTTGTGGCACAATTTTCACACACCCTCATATCCTTAAAAAATCTTATTATAAAACTAGAAAGATAAACATGTCATGTAACAAATTATTAGGCAACACATTTCATAACACGTAGTCCTATACATCAACGTCTCGAAGATTAAATAAAAAGGAAGCCTTCGCTATAACTGGGCACTTAATCATCCGCAACTTGAGTGGGCTCGCATTACAGCCTAGGATCACGCAAGGCCTAACGGAAAGGCGAAATATATGACGGATCCAGTTCTACCTGGTTCGTAGAGAAACTTCTTAGTATGTGTGTTTTAGACTTCATAATTTTTACTGGTTCATTGGTCGGACCGTGAACGTTACCATAGCTACACTTTTCGGATAAAAAACTGCATTTTTAAAACAGAACATGCTTTCTTAATTTTCTCCGACACCACAATGCAATATAAAGGTCTTTTGTAATAGATACTCATTTAGGGCTGTTTTTTTAATGGTCAGATATAATAGTTACCTGGTGAATAATTATGATGCTGTCACGTCAGAATGTTTGTCCAGCAACAATTTTAATCCTCAGATAGGTAACATTTCTGACTATTGAAAAATCAGCCCTTATTCAATTAATTATTTCTGCTTTTTAGCTTCTAGAACACTTGTAGCATTCAAATTTCGAAGCATTGAATTTTGAAAATATAACACTCGTAAACATATTTTTCTTTCAACATTCCATTGACTATTTGTAATACGTAAATAAATTTTAAATTTTCTTTAATCAAATTATTGTTATAATACATACCTTCATGTAGGAGCCTCCAGCCTTCTCTTCATAGTGCCGCCTGATGTACCGTTGGCAAATGTTCGACATTTTCCACTCTGAAAAGTACAACAGCCTTGTTAGGAAACAATGGGATCGTTACCAATGTCATTCCAATCGTGATCTTGGAACGGATACAATTTTCTAGTTACGGGATGTTTCTTAAACTATTGGCTGTCGACATATTATAGTTTGAGGTTGGGCTCATAACTCAAGTGTCCTTGAAAGAATTACATATGTAAATGCATCAAGAAGCCTCGACGCGCACGCTGCTCATGAATAAGAGTCCCGTTGTAACTTGAAACTAGTCGAGCTTCTCTCAGTTAACTCACGTGTTATTTCAATAAAAGTATGTCTCGCGACTCACGATAGTTATTATTCAATTGGATATGTAGTATAATTATGTATATTCTTAATTTGAATAATGTGCGATATGCTCTATTTCTTTTAATCCTCTTAGGGCTGATTTTGATCTGATCAATGGTTAGATAAAAGTTATTTGTCGTATAATTATGATGCTATCGCGTCAGAAGGTTTGTATAAGACAGTGACAGCAACAATTTTAATCCCTGAGATACCTAACATTTATCTGTCTATTGAAAAATCTGTCCTTAATAACATTTTCTTAATAGAACGAAATTTCAGTTTATTGAAAAGAAAACAATTTTATTTAGGTTTACACGAAAACGTGGTTGAATAACTGTAAACCAAAAAACCTATCGATAAGTAATAAAACGGTATGCTTTGAAGTCCTTAAAGATTACAGCTGATTTAAAAAAAATCTAGTACTAGTTCGAAATTCGATCTTACTTTCATATAGTTACCACCTATTATATAAAAAGGCCTACCATCCGGATTTTCGCGGAAGAGGATTCGAAAGTATAAAATTACAAAATTTATGAAGGTATTGGCTTTGGCCCAATAGCTGTCTATAAACCAGAAGACCTTCATAAGACATACGAAATAAGGACCAGTAGTATACCTCGAGGGAGATAATAAAATGGAGAAGGGTGAGGTGAAATGGAAAACTTCGTATTGCATTAAGAAATTACATGACTTTTATTTGTGTCACCTAAAAATACCCAACTTTATATTCGATTAAGTTTAGGCTGTAGATAAATAAAGTTTAATGCTGTCGATCATATTCATTTATTTATTTAATTTTATACTTCTTTCACAATGTACAATGGCGAACTTAACGCCTTAGGCGTTTTCTGCCAGTCTACTTTTGGGTGGTGGAGAAACAGGAGATTTCTTCAGTAGCAATATTTTGACTACCTAAAGTTTGTAAAACTTTCTTAATTTTATTGATCTTTTCCACGATTACACAAAAATTGATCAAGCGGGTCGAACAGTGGTGTTCAGTCTGATGCTAGCAGTTTCGATGTAGATATCAACTAGAACCAACAAAACTGCGCGTCGATATGTATACAGCTTTAAAACACAGAAAAAATTCGTTGAGATGCTAATAGTCGGTAAATCTAATCCAGACAGCCAGGCTCTAAAGAAACTATGAAAAAAAACTTTATTTCCCCAACTTATATTTATAGATAGAATACAATTAAGAGAATCTTTTGAAGGAAAGGGAGCGAATGTGTGCATAGTGTTCTTCTCAGAAGCTGATGGTAATTAGTTACTTATCAATATTTGATCTGCAAAAGTTCTATATCCAAAAAAAAACTCAAAGGTTTATATGTTGACAAACGAATTCTGCAGTGGTAAAATATTTCTTTTATCATGGCTACGACGGCTGCAAAAATAGTTGTAAAAGCTTCTTTGGCATGGCATCAAAAATATATAACAAAATACCTATTAGCATTCTAGACACTAAGGAACTTGCAGTATTTAAAAATAATTGATAAAGCGTACTACACGATCCAAGATTTCTTAAATTTTTGACCGTTTATTAGTTTTACTGTATTTTGACATGCATTAATATTGACCATGTGATGATAGTCTTCACTGTACTTTTACATTTATAATAACTTTTACCATTCTTAATAATTCCAAATTTTTATGTCAATAATTATAATTATTACTATGCTATTATAAGTACCCACATAATTATTGTATGCCTATGAGGCAGGACATATTGATACTTTAATTTAATGTTAAGACCTGTAACTCACATATGCCCACAATAAAGATACTTTGACTTTGACTTTGACTTTAACTAGAGTGTAAAATTCTGTCTAAAAATAGTTCCGTTAAGGTTTACACTGTGTCGTGTTATAGTTAGTTCTCATTTTAAAATAATTTGTGCAATACCCAGCAAAATGTTCTACTAAATTCATGAACTATGTCTTTTTTACTATCGTTAGACATACAAAATGTATTGAGAGTAATGATATATTGACGAAAATTGACTGAAAAACTACAGTTTCAAGACACAGAAGAACATGATCAGCATTCAATCGCAGTTGACTGCGCTAAGCGTCGTGAAGCTAGTAGAGGATTTATCAGTTCACTTAACTCGTTATTTTTAAATAACTTCCCAAACTTTTAATTATTCTTACCACGTATCACATTACATTACCTACACTAAGAAATTTTGCTAAGACAGACCCTCACGTTGCCTGACATCTCATAAGTCTGAAATAAATCCAAAACACTGTTTCCAATCTATCACTAGGACCAAATTACTGCAAACATTCAAATACGAATTAAAATTAAATTTATTCATTGAGTCATTAATATAATGGCAGTCTCATTCACTTCTACATCTAGGTCGACATCATAAGCTTTAGTCAGTACTTACATAGTTTCCTAACGATTGCCAGGTGGGTTAAGCAAACCGGTGTCTTATGACTCATTCATTGAGTGTAGTTGCAAAACTGTCACGGATTTCTATTGTTTTTATTGTAAAATCGAACATGTCAATGTTCTCATTTCGGTTGGTAGTTATTTCACCTAAGATATCAAGTCAGACAAAATGAGTTACTCAAGTGGCCAGTAGCTCGACGCCCTGCCAGAACCAGACCGGAGCGTAAAGGGCCAATAGACCACTACCCAATGGCTGATGTTCAGCCAGGGTTGCGGGGTAAGCGCAATGAGGCACCGCGACCTCGACCAAGAGCAGAAGAAGGAACAGGAGGGGTCGTTTAGTCAGTAAGAGTCTGACACTCCCTCCCAGTCCAGTCACTTGATAATTTTCCCCTCACAAAAAAAGTGGTCTCCATAAACAAGAGAACAAAATAAAATATACCAAAATAGTGAATCAGATATTAATATAGTGTTTAATAAATTGCAAAAGCCATTGGTTACAGTGCACCGTATGTCACAGCTACTTCTACCGCAATTATAAAATTAGTTGCAACGAGATCCGCAACTAGTTTTTTATTGTGTGTAGATACGATAAAATAGTAAAATTATGATACCTCCTTGCTACTACAGATGAGCAGTTATTAGGTAGTCATGATATGATCATGAGCAATAATACCAAGCTATCTACTAATAGTATCATTATATTCGTAGCTTCTTAGTGAAATGATTGTAACCAAAACTACCTGGACATCGTTTTGTTTAACCAATGCATAAGTATTTGAAAGTCTATGCATGAAGTACAACTAATTAATTCCTTTAAAAGATAGCGTAAAGATTAGATCTTTTCGCGAGGAGAGAAATAGCAGATGGCGGTCAAAACGCAAGAAAATAGCGCCGCCCGGCCGCAAAGCAGGGTGGCTTTTAGGCTGCAATTCCATTGAGGCGGACCGGAGCAGAGCGGAGAAGAGCTGTGCCGCGATTCACCAATCACATGGCTTGAAATCCATATTCGAGATAGATCCACATTAGAGATGTAGATTTCAAGCCATGTGATTGGTAAATCGCGGCACAGCTCTTCTCCGGTCCGCCTAAATGGGAACCGCACCCTTAGTCAGGAAGAGACTGACTCTCCCTCTAGCCCGTGATAGAGCAGGAGAAGACTGACTTTCTCACTATAAAACAAAAGACTCCAGGACATTGTAAGTACAAAATATCTATTTCCTCACTTCCTTTAACCGGTTTCACCCAAAAATAAAACATGCCAGTGTAATCCTTGATAGAACTACGTAAACAAATTTGGACACATCTGTACTACATTATCTCTAATAGGATAAACAAAACATGGTAAGAAGGGCTTTTAAAACAAACTTGTGTATTATTAAACTCAAAAGTACCTTATAAATAGACTTTACTAAACTAATAATTTATCGACTAAGTGACTGAGTGTTTTTTAAATTAATTTTATCCTTTATTAGTTTTGTTCATGAATACCAAATTATTGAATATTCATATGCATATGTATTTTTTTAAATAAATTGTCGTTATGTATTTGTGTAAGACATTACATATACACACATTAATGTATTTGTTTACCTTGGCTCCGCATTTGTTTTTGTCGCATGTGCATTTAGAAATAATTATATTATTCTGAACTCACATCCTAGACCTAGACCAACAACTTGTGAATCACAGAAAGACAGGTCACGAAGCAGCTAATCATTCAGCTACTGCACTAACATTGCAGTTAAATTAATCATCTATATTCTAAACAATATCTAATATACAGGATGAACTCATGTCAGTACTTTTATTGATTACTGATTCCAACACGTGTTCGGATTTGGGTAGAGTTGCCATGTTTGCCGACGAATTTAAATCGTACGAACATCCGGAATGTGTAATTGAAGACGTGCACAATGTATATGAGTAATCGGATTTGTTCGTAGTTTATGTAAACAATTGCTATATTTATTTGTAACTTGTTCCGTTTCTGTATTTCGTTTTTAAATTTCCGTATAAAATACGTTACGTTACGTTATAAGATTAAAGTCTTTTTTTCTTATGATCAGGTTCAAGTTAAATGATTCTTAAGGCTAAGTTAAGCTATTAATGAAAGTAATACAAAAAAGTATTAAAAGTAAAAAAGTATGTATACTTATATACTTTTTAATTATTTTTAAATTTTTTGAATTAAATTTTTTTTTTTTAAATTTTCTGCCGCCCTCGATGGAGCAAAAGGGTATGTCAAACGACGACGCTTACTGACTAAAAACCATTGCATTCCTGCT